ATTATGATGATGATAATAATAATAATAATAATAATTAATAATACACAAATGCAGTTGCTCACCACCCGCCGACCGATGCCCAGCCAGTCCCCAAGCAGCGGCCCCCCCGGCCAGCTTTCCCCAGTTTATGTACTGAGCATGACGTCCCATGGTATGGAATGTCCCTTTGGCCAGTTTGGGTCAGCTGTCCTGGCTGTGCCCCCTCCCAGCTTCTTGTGCACCTCCAGCCTTCTCAGTCGGTAGAGCATGGGAAGCTGAAAAGTCCTTGACTAGTGTAAGCACGACTTAGCAACAACTAAAACATGAGTGTGTTATCAACATTATTCTCATCCTAAGTCCAAAACACAGCACTGTACCAGCTACTAGGAAGACAACTAACTCTATCCCAGCCAAAACCAGGACAGTTATAAACAAAGCAAGGTTTATAGAGAAAAGTATTGTCTTTCTGTAGACCAATTAATATAACAAACTTCCCAAGCTTTTAGTACTACAAGGACCATTCTGATCTGAAGCAGAGACAGCAAACTTCAAGCTAACTACTACTATTACGCTGATGGTGTCACCTATGTTTGCAGCTATCCTTCTGGAAAGTGAAAGCGTGTGTGACAGTTGCAGCTCGCCTCCTTCCCACCCGCCCCCAAAAGCTAGCCAAACTATTGTATGTTTCCTTTTCAACTAAGCTTCAATTAATTCTGACCCTACAGCCCGCATCTGTAGAGTAATCACAGAAATGGGAAACGCTAATATGTGTCTTGGGAGGCTGGCTCTCCAGTCCTGTCTGGTTTAATGATACAGCACATTTGGAATGATGTAACTGAGTACAAACTCAGCATGCTTATCCCCGGCATCCCAAGTAGTCTTGTTTATAATGACTGTTTTTACGCTATTTGAAGTGGTACAGTTTAAAGAAATGAGAGTACCCATGTAGGAGCCCCCTGATTGTAAAAATGAGTATAGCAATAAAAAATACTTGTTTGGGTTTATCTACTCATTGGGGGAGTTGAGATAATAATCCACCATCTAATATGTGCTTATCCTGGGCCAAGGTTTTAACAGGTTATGAGCAGATGACTTTCCTTGACTGACTGACCACTTTGCGTTGGTATTCATTCTGTTTACGTTACATGTCTGGTTATCTTTTCCATTTGCAGAATCTATGAAGTGTTTGATGTATTTGTATAAACAGTTTGATTCCTGAAAATATGTTCTGAATTAGATGCCATTACTGTACAACAATACACTAACAACATTCTGAGATCATTTAAAGCCCTTTGTTTAATAACACAGTGAATGTTATTAGACTGTTACAGTAAGTAAGTTAACGTTAAAAAACAGCTTGTAAAAATGAAGAGTTTTGGAATTTTAGAATTATGGAGGAAATCAAATTGGCGCATCTGTTTCTGTCTTTAATCTTTCAGTGAAATGTTTTCCCGTTGATTCTTGACAAAAGTGTTTCCCATCAGATCAGGCATTCAGCTTTCAGTTTTGACAACCGCACCTCTAAAATTAATTTCCACTGCAAATTTTGAGATTGAGGTTGAAAACATAAAATTAAAACTTTCTGTTCTTTTTGTTTGCCTTTCAGTTACAGTACTTAGGAGTCACAAGTTGCTTCTTGCAGCCACAATGACTGGAAATGTTTCATTTCCTCTAAAACGTAGTATTTTCTAAAAGCTAGTATTTTCATGGAATTGCGTGTCTTCAGAATAAAAATTAAAATTATTTAGAAACTTGTATAAGATCATCAAATCTGTTAATATAAACAGTATACTTTTTTCTTCCATTTCCCTCTGTTCCCCACAATTATTTGTATTGGAATTTAGTCTGTACAGAGAACTCTTCCTTTGCTGCTGGAGCAGCCAAAGCTGTATTGAGCTGCTTAGTGTAAATATCTTACATAAAGCTGTACCACGTGAAGGCATATAAAGTATAAGTACAGGTGTAGGGTATACAATGTATTGGATAATTTGAGAGTGCAAAGGAGCCTGCATGGGAGCTGTTGCTTATATCATGTTCAGGACTTAGGAAAAATAGGAGGTAACAAGACCCAGAAAGATCTGTGCTTATATTCTCTTACTGCCCATATTCCTCTTTGTCTGTGACAGTTATGCTTCCTCATGTCCTGTCCCAAAGCTCTTCCAATTGGGTGGCAAAACTGTTGGCTTTTGAATGTTGAAGTAGTTCCAGGTATGCCGTCTACAAGAAAAGTGCTCCAAAACTCAGAAGGATAGAAGTCTTCAATTGGAAAAGCTTGTCTGTTGCAAGGATTTATGCATTATTCATATACATTTGTTTTCCTTTGAAGTACTACAAACGTTTGGTCTATTTGTAATATTTTTAAGATAATTTTGAACTGTTCCATTATATAGTTTCAAATATGGTTTGTTATTTTCCAGTTGTTTCAAGATTGGCAAATGAGACAAATGCTGCCATTCAAAAGAAAATAATTACAAACGTTATCTCTCCTTGAAAAACAGGTCTATACTTTGCATCTGTATCTATATATAAAGTTTCTGTAGTCAATGGAAAATGATGCAAGTTAACATATAGCATTTGATATTTTGAATTTTCTTGATGTATCAAATACTTGTTCGTTGTTGTAAGTGCTGAACCACAAATAATTTACTGGCTTTCTCTATAATACGCAGTGTCTGCTAACTTTGAAGTTCAGTAGTCAACTCAAAAGTCTGCTGGAGCTGACTAATGATTCACCAGAGATTTTTGAGAGAGATTTTGTCATCAATTTAAAGCTTGGAGAGGTTTGCTGTTGCAGCCATCTGGTAATTCTTGGTTCTCTGGAGGAAAGAGAAGCCTTTTGATAAAATAGATCAAAGCATTCTGCTCTTTCAGTGAGTGATACCTATAAGTAACTTAGAAGTTTCTCAAAATGATTTCACAATGCCTGTCTCATTTGCCAAACTTTTGCATTCTAGTTACAATAGTGGTCATGAATTATATTTTTAACTATATTTAAATCATTATTTAAATACTTCTGTTCACGGTTAATTTACAGATCTAAGTGTTTTGTAAACTCAGAGATGCTCTTTCAGTGACTGATACCTATAAGTAACTTAGAAGTTTCTCAAAATGATTTCACAATGCCTGTCTCATTTGCCAAACTTTTGCATTCTAGTTACAATAGTGGTCATGAATTATATTTTTAACTATATTTAAATCATTATTTAAATACTTCTGTTCACGGTTAATTTACAGATCTAAGTGTTTTGTAAACTCAGAGATTTCAAATTTGCCAAATACGCTGTCGTGATTAATAAAATTGATGCTAAATCTTGTTGTTCTTTGTCTGTACTAACTGTACAGGTAAGGGTACTCTCAAAGACTGTACTTCTGCTATGCCATAAGCCTAAGATACAGATGTACCTCTTAGACTGTAGGTGATGTACAAATATAGTGTAAAAATATGTATCATACCATTTCTAGAACTAATTCTGTTAGCAATTGGAATTCTGGCGTGGGGTTTGCAGATGTTTGGCAGTGAAGAGCAAATATGGGGAGAGAGAGAGGACAGGAAGTGTGTGCTGCAACGTCCGCTTGAAACGAGACCAATCTAACGCTGGATTGTACATATACATTTGAGATTTGTCTGGAATCAGGATGTTGTTTCTATTCCATCAGACATTCCAGATGTGCAATTGCCATGACCGCCCATGTCCAGTCTTCTCAAAGAGTGGGTTTATTGCATCACAAGTGCGGCACAAGCAGCCAAAACAGAATGATGAAATTGGCTTTTACCTCGCAAGTTGTTTAGTTAAAGGATGTCTGAGTGAGAGTTGGTGCTGTGTTACAGTAGAAGAAAGGGAGAGCATTAGCTTGTAATGCACCATACCTCTGTGCGTGAAAAAAGGCAGTAATCTCTTGCTAGGGCTGAGTTAGTGCACAGCGGAACTAAGGAGATGTGTTTGTGCCGTTCACTCTTCCTTATGTTAAAGGTCATTGTAATGACTCGTGTACTGACGAAAGAAAATAATTAAACCTCGTACGTCACACTGTCCTCAGTTGAAGCCTATCAAGGAGTTTTCAGTTGATGTGTCTTGGGATGTAGCCTGTATCATCCTAACAACTATATATAATGTTTATTAATAGGTTAGCCTTACCATTTAACCGTTCAAATGACAGATGTCAATGCATATTAGGTAGTTACCACAAGTTCTTCAAACTTGCTGTTCTTTACATTAGGTAGTTTGGAGAGAGAAAAAGATTTCTGAAGAGGCTGAGTTTTTAAGGACTTAATAAATTTAAAATGCAAACTAGATAACTAATATGGTACTACATTCTCAGAAAATAGAATGATGGGAGTTTGGTGAAGGGATAGCTAATTTTTCACACGTTAAAATTTGCTTGAACTCAGATTTAAAAGTGGCATATAGATAGCAGAAGAAAACTCCACGTACTTGTGCTTGTTGTTATTGTTTAAACTTTTCAGTGAGCTATCCAAGATAGGTCTGGTGCTCTTGTTTCTCATTAAGCTCACGAACAATGGTAAATTTGTAATTCCATACTTCATAAGCTTCCACAGTTTTATGTCCTGCCTGCTGTATCTCTGAACCAGATGCATATGCTTACCTGATTGTTTACCTCCTTGTCTGCTTGACATGTGCTTCCTGGCAGCTACAGTTGAACATTTTTTCTTCTTTGTTTTTTTTTTCAGTGTGGGAACTTTGCTGTTTTGGTGGATGTTCATATTTTGCCTCAAGGCTCCAGTAAAGACACCAGCTGGTTTTCAGATCATGAGAAAGAGGTACAACAAATATCAATTCTACTTCAAAAGCATGTGGCTGCAGGGAAAAAGTTGGATTGCCTTGAACTGCTCAGAATTTTTCACTGTTATGAGAATATTGTTAGTTATACCTAACCGTCAACGGTTGCTATGGGACCCCTAAGTCAACCATATGTGCTTTTTGGGTCACTAATGACCACTTTCAATTTGCCTTTTAATTTTACACTCTGTGTGTGTGCATACACGCATGTGTGTGTGCTGTTTTGATTCTTCTGACTTAACTTTTAATTTTAAAAACATATTTCTCATGAATGTTTGTAAATAATGCTGAGTGATATAAACCAGATTGTGACAGGTATCATTTTTGCAGAGCTTGTTGGTGAAATATCTTTCTATTAATTGTTTTTTCTCGTTCCGAGAAGTGTGAATGATGTTGCATTTAGAGAGTGCAAGAAAACATAATGAGTATGCATGATAAACTATACTAGAACCATTGTATCTTATGAAAAGAAACTCCCGATCTTTAAGTTTTTAATCATTTGTATGTCTTGGCAACAGATGAAATTCTGGAAAATCAGTGCATCAGTGACCAGCAAAATTACGAATGTAACTTTCATCAGATTCTGTGTGATTTCTGCTACGATCTTGTGATAAGTTACTGGCAGGAGTTTTCCCCTACTTCAGTCTGTGTGGGAACTTGAGAAGTTCCCTATTGAAAACGAATGCAGGACATGTTTCAAATGCCTGTGGACTTTCCCGCAAGTCTCTGTTACGGTAATTTTCAGCAGATAGCTTTCCTAATAATGGCACAATTAACTTGTCACTGCAGAGCATCCCCGTATGTCTCAAAGTAATATGTTTAAATAAAATTAAAAGAAACAATAAATTAATATCCTGAGGGAGTGAAAGCAGAATATTTAACAGCATGTGGTTCATCCGATTTGTTTTAAGCGGAGAAAGAAGAAAATAGGGGAAATCTTTTAGACTTCTTTTTTCTGACTAAATGAATACTCATTACCCCTTCTATTTATAACCAGTTTTACTATCCTGGTTATCTGACTTTCAAGCGTTTTCAAAATGTATTTTGTAAGACTGCCAAAACAAAAGATACGAATTTCAGGAAATTAGATCATGATTGATTTAATAAAGAGGCATGACAGGGCAGCATTCATTACATTTCCGTGACCGCACGTTTTGAGTGAAGTACAAAGGTTGCATATTTTTGACAACCGAGAAGTGTGATTCCAATAGCTTTACAATTCGCTTCCTAAAAGTCCTGTGCAGAATCTTTGTTAAAGTGCGAAGAAAAAGGTCAGTAAGGTATTGTGGGTAAATTACGCATACATGGTTTTTTATGAGAGCTTTTACATATTCATTGCAAGCAGTTTTCTACATTTTTGTTGTTTCCAAATTCTGGAAAATGCTAATGGTGGTACAGCCCTCTTTGCTTGTCTGTGGGAAAAGCGGATGCCTCTTAGACCCCTTGTAACAGAAACACGATTTCTGCTGATCCCCTGCTTACCCGGGGTGAAAGTCAGCGGCTGCTGTTTGTAGCAAATGGAGCCTGGCGAAGCGGTCCCAGGCAGAAGGAGGGAGCAGTGCTGGCCTGTCAGCTGCCAGCTCCCGCTGGAGCATGGGTCGCGTAGAGCAGGCTGGGAGCTAAATGAGTGCCCATAAGCATGAGGCTGGTGTAAGAAAATACAGTGCACGTTGTCTGACTGGGCACTGTAAAGACCACAGTTCGCACACTGCTGTCACATGCGTTGTATGTAGAGTCATCTTGGGGTTGCTGCGAGGTGCAAATTGAGGCATTTGGGAGCTTTTCTCTCTTTCTACCCTTCAAATTTCCCTGCCCCTTCTGTCCCATCTATTTTTCTCTGGAATAACAAAGTCAAAGTTTTATCTTTGCACTTCAAGAAACATTTATTAAACTGATTTCTGTTCATGTCATTGCTATGATCTCTCCGTATGCATATAGAAGGTCTCAGTTGCAAGTTCTTTTTAGCGGTGGAAAGTACATAGAGACGATTCTCTTGAAGCCTGCTCTTGTTTATGCTTTCTTAAATATAGGTCTGTGTAGTTCTTTGTGGAGAACCATTTAAATAATATTTCCACAAGTTATAACAATTAAAATATTTTCCATGTAAATTAAGGAAGTGCATACTAATATTTGTTGTTGCAGAAGGAACCAAATGCACACTATGTTTCCGCTGCTTTCTAGACCTTTTTATTCTAATCTGAACGCATAGTCCTGTGAAGGAATGTGTAATGAGATCACTTTAATGAGTTAAACAGAAGAATAAGTAAATATAGTATTTTATAAATGGTATTCTTCAAGCAGAAAGGAAAATGTATTTCTTACTGTAAGGAGAAAATATTGTTTGTGGTTGACCAATATATGTGCATTGCTTTCATTTAGAGCAATACGTTAAAAATTAGTTGCTCTGCATACTTTCTACGTTAATCAAAAGTAAATTTCAAGCCAAAATATTTTAGTTTAGATAGTGCTAATATAATTTCATCTATTGTCCAAACACTGTAAAAAAAGTAAAATGATGTTTTTGTGTGCCACAAAGCATCATTTCTGTGAGCACATAGTTATGCACAGTGGAAAATGAGAACGCTGAGGGAAAAGTTTCAAATATGTGTGTATGTATTAATCTGAAAACTTATTCTGGTATTCAAGAGATTAATATTTTGCTTTTACTCCAACTTTTTTTCCTATGGTTATTCTGGCTGAAGGGTTTGTTCGTCTTGAATTGTATGTGGTTTTTATTGTGCTTTGCTGAAGGAAGTATGAAAGATATGAACGGTTTTTTTAGGAGCGGAAAAATCAAAATGAACTAGAGAAATTAGGTTGCTGTGACCTAATTAGCTCTGAGTCTTCTCCCCAAAATTACACTGAATTAAACCAAAATATCTGTTGTGGTTTATGAGGATTCTTGCAGAGAAATAGTGTGTTGACAATTCCTGGGAGGATTTTTACTAATATTCTGCTTAAATACCTAACGTTATGATACATTTTTAACATGTATTTTTTCCTACTTTGCATACAAATGAAACTAATTTGCTGTTCAGAAATTATTAGTATTGTAACATAATGTATTTCATCTGCCAAGTGAGAATTTCCTAATGTACTTCCTCTCTTGTTTTGGAGCAAAATTGTTTAATCCTCCCTGCCTTGTTCCCATTCATTTCCTAAATTATGTGCTTCTCACCTCTATGTAATACCTCAGTACTTAATTGCAGATAATGTTGTTCCTTTTTATGTGAAAGGGAGTGATTTTGTATTGATTTCTGCTGTGTGTCTGTGGGCATGTATGTAAATTTAGATCTAAGTAGGCCAATGGTTACTCTTTCAGGAGGTCTGCATGCTGCTAGAAGAAGTTGTTGCTTCAAGGGTCAAACATTACTTGGAAACACCTAAACAACGTGGTCAATGGAAATCAATGGAACGTGCACCATCTGGTCCTTTGTTTCTTACCGGTAAAATAAATTATTTAACTTACTGTGAAATAAAGTAAGATAAAGTATGGTGGAAACTGCTGTGCTTTATTTTTTCCACGAGAAATCTCCCATCGGGAAAGCCAGTAAGCCTGAAATAGCTGGTGTTGGGGTCTGAAATTATTTAAGCTATGTTATTGAAAAAATTAAGTGGGTTTTAATTTTCTGTGTTATTGAAGAATGAACATAACACTTGTACTATTAGTATGAGAGCCTCTCATTAGAATTAAAAAGAATAAATGGTATAATCCTGGGTCCTCCAAAATGGATAGAAATCTTGCTGGTTTAAGTCTCCTTTCCACTTGAACATTTAGTTTAGAGGTTTTTAATTTGGAAATAGTATCTTTACTTCTCCCTCCTCTAACAATCTGTTCAGTCTTAAAAAGTTGCTATGATGTGATAAATGGCATTTGTCATTTCACCGGTGTTACTGCAGGTTTGGCAGTAGTGTCGATGACCTTGGGAGTAATTACTGTGCAGAAGAGAACAGGAGTAAGAGCATTTACCCAACTGGAACTTTTTTGTGTGTGTGTGTGAGGGTGGTGAGACTAATAGGTGCAATTTCAGTACACGCATGTTTTAAACTAAAGATAGTGATCACTATAGCTTGTGCTCTAATGTTAGATCAGCTTTGGGGCTAAGTGGCTTGCCAGTTTTTGTTTAATGTTACTTCTCTAGCTGTTGTGGTCATCATGGTGGGTTTTACAGTTGATAGGCTTATCTGTTGGTGTTATATCACACAAGCAATTTATTTTTAAATAGTTCTTAGGAAATAATGACCTTTTTTTTTTTTTATTACTAGCCTGGAGCGTGCTATAAACTTGTAACAGAAAAGAAGGGCTGCAATAGTAAAGCCCTGTGCTGGCTATGGTTTCTCACATTTCCTTAAACATATTGAAATAGATCTCTACTGAAATACGAATTCTGCAATGAATGTAATTACATACTTACAGTACACAATCAGTATACTGATAGAAATTTTTTAATTCAATGTATATTATAGTAACAGTTTTAATTCCGAACAAATTCTTTGCCTCTCAATGTTTTCAGTTATTGAAAAGGTATATTCCTATAGAATTCTAGTCGATGGTTGCAGCTTTAAACACTATTATCAATACTCATGAGTGTTTTTAATAAAGAAAACACAGGTTATATACTGTATGGTTGGCTTATTGCAAAATTTTAGGTATATATGGGAGCCAGATTGTTACGGCATGACAGGAGGTTTTTTTCTGCACACAAGAACACAACACCGCATAAGCAAAAAGCGCTTCAGGACACTAAAGAATTTCCAAACCCTTTTTTTCCTTGCAAGTTGTAACTACATTTTATCCCTTTAAAGTAGTATTAATGTTTGTAAAACACTTGCACTTTCAGATCCCCGTACTCTTCTGGTTTTGAGTGAACAAATAGAATTTTCTTAGTGAAAGCAGAGGGACATTACAGAGGGTGGGATCAGAATTTCTGAGATTTGTTGAGGTTTTTCTGTGTTTTCTTTTACTGAGTGATATATTTTATTATTTATTTTTTAAAGTTTCCTGCCTCAGTAAAAAGTAGGTTTTCAGAAACAATGATTTTGAAAGATAGAACTGCCAGATATAATAATAGTTTTTATATGTGCAGACAGATGCAACGCTAATTTGAGGGTGTTCGTGAGACTTTAGGGTCTTATACTTTCTTTTATATCATGAACTTTTCAGTAAAAATACTGGTATGCTGTCCCAGGGTTGTGAACTGATCTTCTGCTTGACTCTTCCCCTTATTTCCTGAAAATGAAAAACTTAAGGATATGCATTTGAGGAGGTCATCAGTACTATCTGTGACAGTTTTAGATTAAAGAATATTTACTTTGGATGAGGCAGAATTACTGTTAATCTCACTGTCATTAATTAACGCTAAACAAATAAAGGAAGAAAACCGTCTGTGATAACAAACATTCATGTTGAACTTAATTTCCAAATCTCTCTCTTTCCTCTTCGCTCAGCCTGCTTTGCTCAGGGCTGGAATTTTAGGAAAGGAGTGCTTTGTTCAAGTCCAAGAATCAAGTTTATTCAAGTTACATTCAAGTCTGTTCTTACCTGAGAAGGAAATAACAGAATAGGTGGGTGTTCACTGGAGCAACTGGGACCTACCTCTGAGGGACTGACACTTTTAGGTGAGCCACAGGTCTAATAGTCTTTAGCAGTTCTCATCACTCAAATGTGGCTCCAAAACCTCTTGTGTTTTGCCTTCCTCCCTAGGATCACAGGTGCTGTTTGTAGAGTACAAAGATACGTTTTTGCGTTTTTTCACAAACAGATGAAGTGCAAGATCGCTGGCCAGTGTTTGGCTTACAGTGTTTTGTAGTATACAAAGAAACGTGCAAGCCTGGTATGTGGCTAACTACATACACATACTATAGGTGCTGCTGCTGAAATGTTCAAGCTTGCAGCTGTTGTTGCATTTGGAGGTTATTAAAAGTTTTTGAGCTCTTCAAACTGCATGTGGTTTCTTTTGCTCAAAGTTATGCAAGTCTGTGTCTAGAGTTTCACTGCTGTAAAAGCCCCGCTATTGTAAGGAAGAGTATCTACAGAAGGAACATTAGGGTGCTTATTAGCTGGTTATTTACTACTTCAAGTATCCCAGGTCAGCATTCCACCCCTATTTGAACTCGCATCTTTTCAGTGAATTTTAATTTGTTTGCTCTCCACGTTGCAGGATGTATTCAAAATTTATTAGAATCAGAATTATTAGACCAGCATTAGTAAGATTTTAGACTACCTCTAATATCAAAACATGTTGTATTAGGATTTTCTTCAGAAATAGAAGCCAAGCTACCTTACTTTGATGAGCACATCTCATCCTGCTGTCTAGATCTGTTGAGCAGAGAAGACTGTTGTTAAACTGGCTACCATAACTATTTTGAAGAGAAAATTGTCACCTATCACAATTTATTTTTAGTATTAATGTCATGTTATGTTTAATATTAATATTATTTAATACCACCTTTCAGTCTTGTGGCACATAATACAAATATCCATGCATGTTACTTGTTAATTTGCATTTCTTTTTCATTTAAGTTACACCCACACAGCAGTGTGTGGTGGGTCGCATACCATCTCATTAGGAAATCTGTGGGTGTTACACACAGGAGAAGAAAGAAAGAAAGAATGGAAAAATGAGAGAAAGTAGCCAAGACAAGCAAGTTCTTCCTATTCTCCTTTCTGTCTGAACAATTTCCCCACCCCTCCCAAATGACCAGCATGAACAATTTGCCAAAGTAAGCTTTAATTTAGTCTTTGGACATAGGCTTTGGTATAAACTCTGTTTCCTGTGTTTAATTAATGTCCAAACGTGTTTGATTTTGGGTTGTTTTATTTTTTTAAGAGAAAATTAAAATAGGGTACATTTTTCAAAGATTTAATTTTGCCTGCATCCAATTTTCACGGCCAAAATCATGGAAGAAGGGCATCGATGAGGTATCGTTCACTTGCGTTATTTGAAGTTCAGTGAATGTAAGCCATCCAATAGCAAACCCCATGTATTAATGAATTTCTCTCATTCATTAAAACTCCACTACTTCACTTTTCAAATGTATAATCTTTAAAGTTAGAACTTATTTTTTAATATATATATGCGCCATACATTTTCACTTTGCGCTACTTGCGCTACTCAGTATCACATACTTGTTTTTAGTGATGATGTCAAGCATCTTAGTGTGTCATAATGCTCACCTACTGTAGACTTAAACAAGCTAAAAGCAGAGCCTGTTTTTTCATGTTCCACAGAAGGTGGCTGTTTTTGATTAAGAGCAGTGAGAATTAATAACAAGAGGCTATAAAGAGGACAGAGTGGAGATATTAAACACAGAATGACAAAGAGAGGACTGTGGAAAATTAAGGAAGAAGGCAAAGTTTACATGGGCACAGAAGAAACAAAAAGGAGGATGTGGGAAGAAAATAGGGCTGGTAGAAATGTCCACGTTAGAAATGGAAGGAAGGAAGAAGGTATCTTGTAAACTGACCTTCTTCCCCGACTTGAGGGAGGGGGTCAACTTAACTATGTTTATCTTACAAGTAATTTTCAGATCTTTTCTCGTTCCTTCCCTAGCATCCTTGTTGTTTTTCTTGGCTTGAAGGTGGAACATTTTTGCTCTGATTTCAGATCTTTTTATTGTACAGTCTCTTCTACAGTTAAAATAATTAGAGAGCATGCTGTCACATGGCACAGTGAGCTCCCAGCTTGATTTTATCTGCTTTCTCTGGGATTGTGTATATTTTTTATGTATTTTTAACCTCGTTTTCTAAGGAAATGGGGCTTATTGTGATCATGTTTTCTCTGTGTGTGTCTTGTCTGTCCATCTTTTCTCCCAGTTGCTTTTTGCAAATGTGATTGAACTTTATTAACAGGTAGAAGTCTCAGACACTAAATTTTCAGACATTAACTTGTGATAAGCTTAATAAAATGAGAAACTGGAAGAAGTACAGTGCTATTATGAATAGTTCTGCCTTACAAAGATCTGGAGTCAAAGTTCACGTTTCATTTAATATAAAAGAATGCATAAGATGCAATTTCATAAGAAAATGCATTTCTGTTCTGTTGCTTATGAAACTATTTGTTTGGCTCCTGTAAGCACACAAAAAATATACAATAAATCATGATAGTAAATATTCCAAACTGTTTTGGCCTTGCATTTCAATTTGAACATTATGATGTTTTTAAGGAAAACATCCTTTTCAGACTGCCCTCCTTTGCTTTAGGCTTGTTCACTATTACTGCAGAACGTGAAATGTGTAAGGTGCTTGTAGGGTATGTTCCACGTTACAATCCTGTAGCAGCAAAACTGATTTATTCCCAGCCTCCCAGCTGTTAACTCTTACTCCTCTGCTGTGAAACAGTGGGTTTTTTTGGTTTTAACTAGCATCATTTCACCTGTCTTGCTTAAAGAGCAACTCCACAAAAATTTGGGTGCAACTGGAGGGAAAGTAAGCTATAGCAGGTAA